ACCCAACTTTGGATTAAATTTTTTTCCATATCTTGTACGGTTTGAAAAAGTTGAGAGTGATGGGATAAAATTTGAAAAAAGTAATGCTTTTCGAAAATTCTTTATAACCACAATGCAGGACACCAAAAACCACACAATTTTAGATTAAACTTCGTTTCCATATCTTGTACAGCTTTGAAAATTTCGGGGATAAACTTTGGAAAAAATAATGTTTTTTAAAAATTCTTTACCATTACAATGTAGAATACCAAAATCGCACAAATTTAAGAGGGAAAACTCACCATTTTTTAGAGAGGGTATTTCCATCCCTAGACAAAACAAAAAATGGTTTCGTTATTAGAGTGAATTCGTTATTAAATTTTTTGAATTTTCAAGTTACCGAACTTCCTTTATAAACAAACAATTAAGTAACACCGAACGAGTTACGTGAGCTACGTGCTTTACTACACCGAAATTAAACGAGCGCAGCCTCGATATTTTCCTCGCCATTGTCTCAACCGCTCAATTGCTCAATCACTGGCAAACAGCGCGCGATTCGACGAAATGCCGCTGATATTTCGGAGGCTTCGCTCCGTTCGCAGCTAAGCCGATAAAATCGAAAGCCGGCGTTTCGTAACAGGGTTGTTTGAGCGACACATGTGCAGTCATATGAACGATGAATCGGCGATTCAACGGAATAATCGTGTCCACCGAGAAAATATCAAATTTCGACTTCTCTCCAATGGATTGCGTTGATTATGCACGAACCGTCCTTCTTTATCTTCTCCTTTGCACAATCGCATCGACCCAGCTGGGACATTCGTCTTCCTTTGGACGCAGCTTTCGTGTATCCATTGAATCCACGGATCGTTGCGTAATTCGTGTGTGACAGACACCATTTCTTTCACTTTATTCACGTTTGTAACGTTGTGCAAGTCGTCGTCATTCATCGAAGAAACGAAAGAATACACGAGACAATCACACTTAAACTGAAGTCGATTCGTTCGTTTCAGTCTATCAGACAAGGAAAACGTAATCGGACATCTCTGGCGCAAGAACTCGAGGTATGTCCTCTCTTGTATCTTCTTTCATCGATGTTCCACGGTGATTATTTCACACGGAAGATGCGTAAAAATCGATAGGACGACGAAGACAGCGGAAGCAGGGAGTCCACTAGCAACGAAGACACCGGAAGCAACGAGAGCAACGGAAACAACAACGAAAGCGGCAACGTCGAATCTGGCGAAGGATCAAAAGGCTCCGCCGAGAGTGCTTCCAGCGAGAGCGACTACGACGACGATTCAGAAGAGGAAGGAGGTTCTGTCAAAGCCCTCATCGATTTGCTTCAACTAGCTGCACCCATTCTAGAAGATCTCAGCGACGTAAGAAATGGATTTAACGGATTCCATGTTCACTTGGATTCTCAAAGTGTAAGTATAGATTACTATAGACCCTACCGTCGCTTCCTTTTTCAGCCTGACTCCGACGCAGACATCAGTGATGTCCTTCAAGCAGCTCTTCCCATTATTCAAGAGCTCTCAGAGGTGAGAATTTCGGCAACTTCGAATAGAAATTATCTTAGACGATAGAGAGCATACATTTTCGTATTTTCAGGCAGACGGAGAAGGATTCGATATTCCAGCGATACTGGTGCCGATTCTGCTACAATTTAGCGAAGTGAGTCGCCAAGTTCCCTTAGAGGGAGGTGTTAGGAGGCAGGTAAGACCAGGTAAAGATCGAAATGAGATTTGTTTCAGGGTCGAGATGGAATGAGAGACTCTGCTGCGATTTTGACGCCTGTTCTTCAATTAATCGCGCCGTTGATCGGACCCCTGGTTGGTCCACTGGTTGTACCACTGAGTCGTCAAAGTAGCCAGGTAAATATCACTCCTCGTTTCTAATCACAAACGTCTCCTCTTTGGTATTAGATAGGAAAAGTGAATTTCAGCCTCCAGGACAGGGTGGATCGTCGGTCGGCGATTTGGTCAAAGGCTTGCTAGGTCCCTTACTCGAGGTAATTATCATCGCAATAATCAATTTCTCGCACACGACATTCTCAAACAACCCTCTTCTTCCAGCCCGCTGGACCCGGAAAGATGTCTCCGCTCTCGAACCTGCTCGCCGGAGTTATCTCTAGTCTTAGCAAAGTACGCATTGACTTTTCTGTTAACGTTCTGTTCTTCCTTAATAAATCGATCGTTCCACCACTGAACCAGTCTCGTGTATTTCAACAGTTCGTCGTACAGTCGCGAGCTTTGCGTCGAAACAGTACACAGAATCCTTGGAAAGCTTCCGTTTCGATTTAAACGTGAAAATATCATTGTACATATATTCTTGGACGTTCTTTAACCGTGTCCTTGGTTTTTCTTCGATACGTTGCAGAATTCAGGGAAAGGAGGAAAGTCGGACATAATGAGCCTCGTGAAAGCTATAGTCGCGGGATCGGTAGCAGGCACCAGTGCTGGTTCCAGTGGAACCACCAAGGATAGTTACGGAGCACCTACGAGCTACGGTGCAGAATATTCCCCCTCTACTACCTACGGTCGTGTAAGTTTTCCTCCATTGATATCTCCCTCTGTCTCCTTCTTTGACACACACCTGGAGTCCTGTCTGTGAACATACTAACACACGAGACACGATTTTCGAGGTACATTACCCGCCTGTGACATTCTGCTTCTCAACTTTTCAGCCTAACACGCCACCGACGAACCCAAACCCGCTTCTCATGCTTGGCTCTTCGATCAAAGACATTCTTAACGCGGTAGTAAAGGTGGTGTCTTCGTTAGTTAACGCCATCACCAGTATTCTGGGCGCATCGTCGAATAGTTCCAATGAACCTCAACGACCGTCTTATGGTCCACCACCTCCTCCCTATGCCAACCGAAAACCCTATAGAATGCCACCTGACGAACCTATTAGCATAACTACTCGCGAGCCTCCACGACTGACGAGATTCTAGGTAGACTTTAATATTGGGTGTGTCGATGTCTTGTAGATTTTCGAGAGATGGAGGAACGAATATAAATTTGGCTCGTTTGTCTTCTTCCTTTTTTGTACTATACGAATAAAGATGAGCTCTTTGATGCGATGTACCGTGCTGAGATGGGAAGTTGCTTGATTGGCTATAGTGTGATAGATATGGGTTTTGTTGGAGTTATACAGGGTGTCTCAGCTGATTTCGACATCTTGATTTTCTCGTTATTATTACTCATAGCGGAAAATGTTTCAGATGAAATTTAAACGGTGTCGAAGGGGGCATATTCTGGTTGTTATTAATTCTTTCACGAGTGGAAAAGTTTCACTTTCATCGGAAACATATTTCGCTTTGAGTAATAATAGCGAGAAGATCAAGATGTCAAAATCAGCTGAGACACCCTGTGTAGACAGGGAACGTGTGTTTTTGTTACTGGAAGAAATGGTCACGTTCGTAGATCGAGTTATGTGGAAGAGAGCGAATGGAATATGTAGAGATCAAGTGGGATAGAGTGATGGCGAGTGATACGATGAAATTTGAAATAATAGTGTACTCGCGGTAGATTTCGGAACGTATCATCTGCGGATACGGAGATTTTAATAGTATGTTAGCGTGTGCCGCGAGAAACCTTAAGGTGGTGGCTTCCGGAGTGTCACAGACGAAATTAGGCGAAGCGAGCAGAATGTTGCCCCTGTATAGTCGGTGGAAGCGATATAGTGACGTCATAAAATGTGTGAAGAGCGCTAAAACATTAATTCAAGGGAGATACGGAGCACTAGCATTGCTTAGGGCTGTTCGATGTTAATTTTAAATTGGTTCCTCTGTTGCGGTATATTTAAAAAATTTGTCTGCGCCTTGATGAACTTGCAGATTAACTCTTGCGTCAATGACCGCAATTGTCGTCCACTTTATCGTTCAATTTTAATAGTTTTCTGGTAAGAAAATTCTAAACATGAAGCAAACACGGATAGGAAATGTGCGAAATGACAACGATCTGAACGGATATTCAAATCTTTTACCGAGAAGATCAAATATTTTAAGTGAGAATGTGGAAAAAGGTACCTGGTTATTGACGTAAGCGTTAATTTTGACTGTGAAAACTTACTATCTTAAATCTTTGCGATCGAGCCCCGGGATATGCCCGGCAACGCGTTTTTACGAAGAAACGAGGAAAAGAATAATATACACACAGCTTAAACAAACTGATTTGAATAAAATTTATACGTTTTTTAGCCAAGCTTTTTCCTAAAAACTAATTCTAACCAATACGACTATCATGCCTATGGAAAATACGACCGCAAAGAGTTAAATAAGATATTGTGAGCAGAAACTTTTGAAGAAAATTTAAGAAAGAAATTAAATTTTAAAATTTAACAGATTAACGTCGGATGACGCACGTTCATTTTCATCTGTCTGAAAATAAATTTATAAAACGCTATAAACGATTCAATTTCTCTTCAGAAATGCCATAACAGATGTTTCACGAATGAAATAAAATTTCTTTGAAAAATATTAATTAGCTATAGCAGTTTTTTCCCCAACGTAACACCATTAAAAGGAATAGACGCGAAATCATCCCGTACCTAT